TTTCCTTGGTTTAGTCAATGTCAACTTCAAATTTGCAATCCTCCTGCCTCAGCCTTCCAAGTACTGGAGAAACCAACTTCTTATTAACTGGTTCTATCTGCCGCCATTGCTATTGCTCCCCGACTTACCATATGACTTGCCATCTTAAAGCGCACAGATCAGTGTGTTTTACTCCTCCACAGGGTTATGCAACCCTCACTGTTATCCAATCCTCGAAAATTTCCACGGTTCCAGGAAGACGCCAAGTGGCAGGCAGCAGTCACTCCCCTGGCATCCTTTATGTCCTGCACCTATGGATTTGCCTGCTCTGAATACTTTCTGTCAATGGAATCATTGTGGCCTTTGGGGCCTGGTTTCTTTCATCTAGCATAATGTTGTCAAGGTTCATCTACCATGCGGCACGCATTAAAACTTCATTCCTTTTGGGGACAGAATACCATCCCCATTGTATGGACAGACCATATTGTTCATCTCCTCATCAGCTGTTAGGCTTCCGGGTTGTTCCCCATTTGGGACTATTATGAACCATGCAGCTGTGTAGCAGGTTTTGTGTGGATATGCTTTTGATTCTCTTAGAACACAATTGCTACATTATATGGTAACTCTACATTTTACTTTTGAAGGAGATGCCAAGTCATTTTCCAAAGAGTAACATTTTACATCCTCATTAACAATACAGAACAGGTCCAACTTCTCCACTTGCTGTTTTCATATATACATATATTTCACAAATATGCAAAATATATGAAATATATATTATATTATATATTTCATTATATATGTATATCCCTCCCAGTAGACTTTTCACTGACACGTCTAGTAACTTTGCTTGAGAGACTAATTACAGCAACTTTTTCTTCTCCTAATTACTATTTTATCACTTCTATCTGTCAAGATAGTTCTATATGGAGTTGGTTTTCTCATTTTTATTTGCCTGTTTGTTTTTGCACTGTTGGAGGCTGAATCCGCAGCCCCACAAGTGCTGAGCAATCTCCTTATCTTGGAGCTCCTCCTCCGGTCACTCTTGGTTGCTGTGTGAGGTTCTGTGGCTTCCATTGTCATCTACTCTGTGGAGCATGTGTCCTTTTGCTGCAATCCCTTGAGCCCACTTTGCCACACTCTACCGAGTGGCTAATGGCTTTTGCTTTGCTATTTATTGCTTCTAATGAACTGGTTGGATCAGAGCCTTCAGGTACTCATTTGGCCCTTGATTCCATGAAGTTTAAACAACAGACTGACTGGCCACACCATTCAGCTTCTCCTCAGAACCACAGCATCCGCCTTTTTCTGAGGCTGCCTGAACTGTCGCTTCTACTGATCAGAGCCGTACAATGGAGAGATGTAGAGAGAGAGAGAGAGGGAGAGAGAGGGGGAGAGAGAGAGAGAGAGGGGGGGGAGAGAGAGAGAGAGGGAGGGAGGGGGGGAGGGAGGGAGGGAGGGGGAGGGAGGGAGGGAGGGAGAGAGAGAGAGAGAGAGAGAGAGAGAGGTGGATTGTCAAGTCCTACACCAGGGCAAAAGAGGATTTCCCAGTGGCACTCTGACCCTTCAGAACCTGCAACTTCTAACTAACTCCGAAACCTATCTTCTCAAATACCTTCTCAAAGACCCCCATTCCTTCAGGTCCGAGTCCGTTCCTAGCACTTGCAAACACAGACCTTCACTCAGGCAGGTCCGGACACCGGGCACCACCTATGCCACAGATTCCACCCACAGATCCAACAGTTCCCTCATCCTTTCTAGCTGTGTGAGTTTAGCCAAGATTTAAAAAAAAAAAAAAAAAAAAAACTGAGTCATTTCCCTTAACTCTTAAGTGTGGCCAACAGTAGTATCTGACTCATAGGAGCACGACCCCGATGGAAACTAACGTAAGTAAGGTGCCTTAGAAATTTATTAAAAGACAGCGAGGGCCGGGGAGCCAATACCATCTGTGAACTGCTTGCCACACTAGCATAAGGACTTGAGTTTGACCCCCCAGAACTCACATAAAAAATCAGGGGTTCTGCGGCGTTTATAACCCCATACTGAGGAGGCAGAGGCAGGCTCACAGGGATGGACGACTCCAGGCCAGTGAGAGACCCGGCCTCAAAACAAACTAACAAATAAGTAGGTGGATGATGTCTGAGAACAGCACCCATGGTTGTCCTCTGGCCTCTGCACACATGAATGTGAATATAAATATGAAAACACACAAAGAAACACTTGAAAGATAGCTCCAATAAATGTTCTTGGCAGACTTTGTTCGCGAAGGCCACAGAAAACTAGGCATGTATTGACGGCTGTAAAGAACTTTCAGGCTCATAGAGAGAGAGCGACATATTTACACACAGCACCTGACTGACACAGAAGGTCACAGGCTGAGGAATGATGTCACAATGCCCACCATTCTGTCCTCCCCTGCCTCCTGTCCAGCTCTTTCCCATAACAGGGACATCTGGTCTTGAACTGACTGCTGAGAGGCTCATTGATTTGCATGTTTATCCAATAGTGAGATTGTTATGCTTGGAAGATAAGCAACCATGAATGGCTCTTTTCCTTACTGGTCAAAGGGAAGGCAGCTACTGCCATCCTCAAACTCACGGTCCTTAATCCTGGCCAGCTGACAGCAGACGGGAACAGAGGCTTCACTAAAGGACTAACGTGAACGCAATATTCCATTTCTTGTTGCTTTTCTCCCTCGGAGAATTGCCAGAATGGAGTAGTTACCCATAATCCAATGTTTTATATCCTCTTGTTGTTCTGGGCTGGGAGCTTACTTCTCAGAGTGACTGTAAAGCTTCTCTTGGTAGCTACTGTCCAACTGATGCTAGACTTCATAAAATCAGATTCTACAACAGGTAGTTCATTCTCCCCAGGTATGCAAGTAGACACAGAGATCCTGGCTTGTTCTTCACTAGTTAAATGAGAATACAGGAGCTCACACACCACCTTTAAGTCATTTGGAAGTATAGGCTGGTTATGTACAGCATATGTTTTCAGAAAGACATGCGTAGGAATATTTATCCTTTTCGAGAGTGATAGGATCTGTTTCACTTGTTTCTCCACCATTTGCCCCTTCTTCCTGGACTCAGGGCTGTCTGGCCTCCCTTGCAGCTAGGTCATTATTTAATTATGCTTGTAATTGCCAAAGACTATGAAAAGCAGCCTCCAAAAAGATAATTACTTATCCTAAACTTTTCATTTTCTTCAATTTTATTTCTGTGTGTGTATGTGTGTGTGTGTGTGTGTGTGTATGTATGTATGTGTGTGTGTGTGTGTGTATATGTATGTGTGTATGGGCATATACCACACTGTGCATATGGAGATCAGAGGATAACCTTGGGTATCGGTCCTCTACTTCCACCTTGAGATAGGGTCTCTGGTTTGCTGCTCCATCAATTGGCCCACAAGCTTCCAAGGATTTCCTCTACTCCATTTCCCATATCCCCATAGGAGCACTGGGATTACAGACAGATATGCTGCTACAACTTGTGTTCCGTGGGTTCTGGTGCTCTGAACTCAGGTACTGCACGTTTATGTCGCAAGTGCTTTTCCCACTGAGCCAACCCTCCAGCACTCTTCCCTCAGTCTTGAACAAAGACTTAAAAGCTGCCAATCTTCTATTACATAGATGAGAGCAAGGTCTTAAAGGATAGCAGAGCAACAGATGGAAGGAACATAGGTCTCTGAGTGACAACTTGGAACCAAGCTGCCTCATCAACCCCTGAACAGCCAGACTCTAGGCCACTAAATTTGTGTGGGGGGAGGAAGGGGTTTCAATAGTCTCTATTTAATAAATATATTTTCCCAATCCATTCTCTCCACCTTCCTTAATATAATAATTACATTTTTGAAGTGGATATAGTTTGTCTTTTTTAGCTTAAAGGTTGCCCTTCCCAGACTACTTTACTACTATGCATGACCACATGACTTACAAACTAAAATACCTGGTAGATGGAAGTTCTGTCCAAGTAGCATCCTTAGTAAGCAGGATGCAGCATTTTCCAACCCATATTGTCTTTCTCACCATCCGGAATGTGAATAATGAGCAGGGTTCAAGCAGCTACTTGGGATCATTAAGTTACAAGTTAAGAATTACTCCCGAGTAGAAGTTCTGGCCCCAGGGTCCCTCAAGACCAGTGACTATTCATACCAGTTCTGGACTGTGAGTTTCTAGATTTCCTTATATGAGAGAGAGAATTCTATCTTATCAAAGATATTAACATTTGCATTCTGCATATAACCGAACCTATTTAGGAGATACACCCATGAACAGATATCCTCATTTCAACCCCTAGTTTGATTCTTGGCTCCTATTTGCAGAAGTAAAGGAAAATAACTCTCCTCAACGCTGCGGAAGTAAGAGACCAGTTTCCAATCCTTTTATCAGAACGGATTTGCCTTTTGTGCTCTTTGAAACAGCTCTACAGGGAAGCTGGCTAAGAAACCCCAGTCTCTAGGCCCAGATGGTCCCAACAATGGTGCCTCACACTAAGAGACTACAAGTGTGGTGGCGGCAGATGTGGGTTGGACTGAGGAGAGAGCTATGACCCAGCTTTGGTGTCTAGGCAGTGAGACCAACAGAAAGATGGGGCGCCAGTACCTGCAAATTTAGGTCAATAGAGACCGACAGATCGGGAGGTAACTGGGCAACCTGTCTCTTTAAGTTGGGTTTTCTGCTGCTTGCCTGCTGCCCTGGGCTCCGGTACCCCAGGCCAGATGGCGCCTCCTCCGTGGCAGGGAGGATGGAGGAGGCCAGACGCTGAGAACTGGGAAAGCATAGGCTTAGCACCTCCTGTCCACAGCTTCGCAGGACTTGAGTCTACCAGTCCTAGTCTCCCCACGTGTAAAAAGGGGAGCAGGCGCTGACAGCTCCTCCAGACTTCCCTCCTGCAGGTGGGGTCTGAGCACCGGGCTCCCCAGCCTAGACTTAGCAGCGCACATCTGTCTCCACTGACATCCTTACGGACCCTTCCTGCACTCCTCGGTCCCCCAGGTCTCCCCTCATCCTCCGGTAGCCTTACCCTCCTCCGACAGGTAGCGCAGGTCGTAGAACTCGCCGGCGAAGGTGCCGTAAGAGGAGTCGTGGCGCGGCACTGCCTCGTCAGCGCCCGCGTCCCCTCGCGCGCGTCCCCGGGGTCCCCGGCCCCCGGGACCCGCGCCGTCGTCCGCGGGGCTGGCGTTGCAGGCAGCGACCCCAGTCAGCAGCAGCCGCAGGAGCAGCGACGCCCAGGCCGGACGCTGCCGGGGCTGCCCCGCCATCGCTGCTCACCGATCCCTCAGCCAGGCCGCTCCGGCCGCAGCGGGGGCGCCGCGGGCGCGGGCCGGGACCGAGCCGCCGCCAGCACGCGCCGCGCAGCCGCGGAGCGCCCGCACCCGCCGCCTCCCTGTCTCGCTCTGCGCATCCTCGCTCCAGCCCTGCAGCCTGCCCCAGTCCTCTCAGCATCACCCCCTCCTCTCCTGACGCTCCCTCCTAGCTTCCCTTCTTGAGTCCTTCACCTATTCTCCCCACCGCCCAGTCGCCTTGCAGATTTGACCTTCTGGTCCCTAGGTTCTCACAGTGGCACTCCGACCTACAACATCAGCACCACCTGGGAACTTGCCAGCGTCTCTTTAGGCCCCATTCCAGACACACAAAGCGCGATTTGCTCTTTCACTCAAACCCCCAGCACCCAGTTTCCACACCTTATTAGAATGACTGTCTCCAACACCTTGCTCCTGAAACTTTTCATTCATAGGAAACAACACTTAACTAGACTCCATACATTTCTCGAGACGGTGATTTCATCACGGAAGGAAGACGAAATCCCAAAATACTACTATACAGATAGCCAACCAGAGGTCAGAGACAGCGAGGAAGGTGTAACTAGGCCCTTGGCAAGAGTCATGAGCACTGGCGCATACCTGAACTTTCCAGATTAGGTAGCTGGTTTACCATTTTTTTCCCAGGAGCAAAGTGTGCAGACGTCAAGCAGCTCAATCATGTCTGATAAGGTTGCTGAACTCTCCGCGTCTTCACATCCCTTCGCACCACTTACACTTTGCGTTATTTACCTGGCCGTTTATTTGCCCACTTAACATACCAAGGTCCCAGGCTTGTCTTCAGGTGACCCTTGTTGGGGTGGTGACAACTGTTAAATTGTTTTCAGCAAAAAATAGGGACACTATCCCTCCCATGCTGCCACTTCTGAACCTGCATATAAACCGATTCTTCGGGTTCTTTTTTTTTTAATTATTATTTAAAGTAAAGAAATTGCTACTGAGGCAGAAAAACAGATTTCAGATATAGTCTTGGACTATACCCAGACTGCCTGGGTAATGAATGATCAGTGATCAATAATTCCCATGATGCAGTGAATATTAAATAAGACCATGCACGAAAAGTTTGTAGGGTCCAATGTCATGACATTTCACACAATTATGAAATACTGATGAAAAGTCAATCATTTCAACCTTTTTTTTTTTTTTTGGGAAATCCAAAGGCCAGCTGTTTACTATCTGATATAGATGACAGATCAGCTTGTCTGACTGGAATTTAAATATGGTAATCCTGCCAGGGTCTCTCAGTGAAACTCTGAAGTTGAACTCAGCTATGCAGGCAAGCCTGGCCAGTGAACTTGGAATCCTCCTGTCTTCCCAGCACTGGTACCAACACACATGGCCAAGTACTGCTTTTTATGTGGGTACCAGGATTTGAACTCTGGTCCTCATGCTTGCACGGCCACCACTTGACTAACTGAGCATCTCCTGAGCCTGGAGCTTGCTGGAACTGCCTGGCCGGTGAGACCCTGGCATCCACTTTTCTCTGCTCCCTCGCCCCCAACACTGGGCTTACAAACAAAGGCTGCTGTGCCAGGCTTTTATGTAGGTGCCCAGGGTCCACACTTCACGTACATGCAGCAAATATGTCACCCACTAACCCACCTCCCAGCCCATTAGTCGCTTTTAAATGGATAAGCAGGTCATTTCATTTTCATTTTAAAAAGACAGACGGAACCTTTATTTCTCTTCTCATCATCAACAAAATAATTTCTCAAAAAGACCTTTTTCCCCCTCTTATAAAAACATCCCCAAATTAGTGCTACCACTCCGTATCCGGCCAGGAACAGATGTGGCCTATCTCTGACTGCCTGGCGTATGCCATTTTCCACTTTGGCTTTCCCAAGATACAAAAGCTGTGATCTTGGAAGTCCCCCCAGGAAGTTAAACATAGAGTCGCCATATGATCTGGCAATTCCAAGAGAACCCAAAACATATGTTCAGATAAAAACTTGTGCATGAATGTTCATAAAATTATCATTCATAATAGCCCCAAATCAGGAGCAACCCAAATATCTATCAACTGAATTAATAGATAAACAAAGCATGGTATCTCCATATACTCAATTATTCAGTCACAAAGACAGAATGAAGTTCTGATATATATATATCTCATGGATGAACCTTGAAAACATGGTTTAAGTGAAACAAGCTGATCACAGATATATAAAGTGTCCAGAATAAGTTAATTCATAAGCAGAAACCCACAGACCAGGAAGGGGGTGGCAAGTGGTTGTCAGGGGAGGGGCAGAGTCAGATGATGATGTCTGCCCAGCATCATCGATTTGCTGAAAGACACTGAGCTGCACACCTTAAAGTCATTAAAATGGTGGATTTTATTCAAGGACTTTAAAGGTTTGTGATCTTTGAAATGGTGAAGGTTAACAATGATATCGGGAATCTTCCTGTGCTCTTTGGAAATCAAATTCTGGATATATACCGGTGGGAATTTCGAAGTGCGAAATGACTTCCTTTTTCACACCTGGGAATCTGAGCTGTCCACGCCCCATCAACTCTGGGTTGAGGGTTGCCAGACCACTGAAGTAACTCGCCACACCTTCTCATTGAGGAGTCTGCGGCCACACTTTAGAGGCCCAGCTCTGGAATGGTTATGTTAGCAGACTCTCCTGTGCCCTCTTGAATCCACAGTGGGTGTCATGTGACCTTCTAGTGCTATTGTTTGGGTCTTAAAGTAGACAGAAAAGGTAAACAATTACACAACTCCTTATAGTCATTTTGAGTTCAGGCAGGGCAATGTCACAGTCTCAGGTCCCAATGTCAAGCACCCAACTATACATTTAAGTAGCTAAAGATAATGACCACTGCAGCAATGCACTCCTCTGGATTCTACTGGTTGGGGTGAACTGCCAATGGTACAGGGTTTTCATATACAGTAACAACCAACATATTTGTGCTCAGACTTGCAGTGATGTCAACCCACCGAGACACCTGTGAACCTGGGAAAAAGCTGGAGACAAGGCAGAAGCCTGTAAGTCCCCTGAAAACAACAGCCAGAACCTCCATGCAGTCCTCCTTAAAAAACAAAGCAAACCAGGTATGTAGGAAATTCTTGTTTCCTGACCTCTCCAGAAACCTCTTCTTGTGTTTTGGAGGTTTCCATCAGAGAGCAAGGTGGGGAGGCGTGCATGCCTCAGAATGTAGCTCCGGAGAGGAAGAGGCTGCTGGATTGGCAGGAGGTGGCAACCCCAGGTTCTACAGAAACGTGGCTTGTGTCACGTGCACATGATTGAGAGCAGCAAAAGCCTGTTTTACTAGTGCATCTGGGAGCAGCGTGGGTGAAAAGCACCCACCCGAAACTATGCTTGCCCCAGACAGTTCCACTGATAGAGCAGGCAACAATAAAGAGCTATCAATGAGAAGAGGGCCACAGCCTACATAAGGCCACACCAAGTCCCACACGTGTTGATAGCTCCTGGTGACATCTTTTGTACCAAATCAAGGTGCACTGACGACCAGGATTCATGAGGAAAGGGCGGAAGTCCCTCCAGGATGCTCTGCGCACTAAGGCAGGAGAATGTGCCATACGTTTTAGAAAGAGTTCCCTCAAAAAAATATTAAAATTGTAAAGAGTCAGTCCTTAAAGAGTTACTTCTTGGTTATCTGAACCCCTGTTTACATACCTCGTTTGCATCAAAGCTAGTCAATGAGGCAATTTTTATAGTCATTAGTATCAAATTATTGGCACCATTCAGTTGTAGGGATAGGGAGAGAGCAAACTCTACAATACAACATAAAAATACAGTTCTGATACAAAGATCAGTCCCATTGAACAAGCAGTCATAAGAAATGGAGGTGGACAGTTTGCACACAAGGGAACACAGCTAGTAGCTCATCGCACAGATGTGTTCAGTTTGCTAGCAGTTCAAATAAGACAGCTTTCCAAGAATAACTATACACATCTATTAAACTAGCAAAAAAATAAATTAGAATGGCAAAACCCAGTATTGGCAGAGCAATTGATAAATAGAAATGCTTGCACATTGCTGGTGGCATCATAAATTGGAGAGGAGATTCAAGCATTCAGAGGAGGGGAAATTTAAATGAGATGACCTTTAAGGTCCTTCCAATCCAAAGACTGGATCTTTCTAGAAAGCGATCTGGCAATATAAAACAAGAGCTATAAAATACTTCATGCTCTCTGACCTTGTAATCCCTCTTTGGAGATATTCCAAAGGGAATAATCCAAGAGAAGGATTTTATATATATATATGTATGTATGTATATATTTATTTATTTATGTGTTTTTACAAAGACATTCATAGCAGCAGTATTTATAAGAGTGAAAATTTGCATATAACTCAAATATCTAATGATGGGGAGAAGTGAGGTTAACCATGTTGTGTGGGTATAAAGACATTTAAGTCGGTGAGAGCAGGATCTGTCTAATAAGGATTTGTGTTAGGTGGAAATATAACAAAAGGAATGTTCTCGCTGAGCACAACTATGTAAAAACGGAGCATATAGGGGAGAATCAGGAAGAACTTCAGAGCTAGCTGTGGGTAGGGGCTCCTTAATTCCTGCAAAGGTAGTCAAGTGAATAATAAAAATTTAAAAATGCAATTCATGAAAATTAATATATAAAAAGGGAGCTAAGTTTCTTCTGGGCAAGATTCTGTCAACATGTTTAGAGTAAATAGAATTTAGAAATAATCTCTCTTTCTGGAAAAGTCAGATGAGTTTTCCTGACACTGAGTTATCTTGACCTTGTCAAGATTTGTAGACGACATAATTAGCATTTCCTATGTGGGGCTCAAAGATAAACTCCTTTTATCCCAAGTTATGCTGTATCCAACGAGTTCACACATTCAATCGTATTTCAGGATAAACTGAATAGTTTTCAGTTGTAGTGATGTGAAACCTTTTTTCCCATTCATCTATTCATATCTGAATAAAAATAAATGATTTTTATAAGATCTGTGTATTTATCAGTGTAAATGGAAAAACCAGCAGTAAAGAATTATTCTCTCATTAAAAATGATCCATTTAACAAACAGCCAAAGCTTGGTGCAAGTTTCGATCATAAAAAAGTCACATAGTT